GAATTCAGACATGCTAGGTCCAGTTCACTATTGTATGCCTCTCTGAAAAACAAAACTCCAATCTTCATTCTCCTGAACATACCTAAATCATTGACTTTTCATCCAAACATGTCTGAACTGAAGTATCAGTTGAGATGAGGCACCAGAATAGATTTGCTAATAAGGTGACCCTGCTTAGATGGTGCTTTGTTAAGCTATCAAGCAAGTGGAATATACTTATCCAATACCATAAAAAAATACACCATCCAGATAGGTGTCAACTCAAATGATCACATTATACAGCAGTAAGGTCAACTTAATGTACTGGAAAAAGGCTGTAGAAGTTCCTGAGCAAAACTGGTTTGATAGCAACCTTGATGTCTTCATTTATTTGTGTGTAAGCATGGCTCAGTGGTAGTACTCTCACCTCTGAATGAGAATGCTGGAGGCTCAAACCCTGCATCAGAATCTGGAATCAGATAGTCTAAGCTGATACTCCAGTGCAATACTGGGGGTGTGCTGCATTGTCTGAGTGCCATCCTTCTGATAAGATATCAAATCAAGGTCCTGTTTGACTGTTCAGATGGATGTTAAATATCCCATGCAACTTTTTAAAAAGAAGTGAGTTTCTCCCGGTATCTTGGTCAACAAGTCTCCCAAATAAAATTGGTCATTCACTTCATGGCTATTTGTGGGACACTGCTGTGTGCAAACTGGCTGCTGCGTTTCGCCCACAAAATACAGTTTACAGCATATCCTGTGGAGCCCTTTGAGCACTATATCAAATACATGGACAATTACTATTTATGCCTTTCAACAACACCAGGAAATATCAACTGCCTTCTGAGCACGTAAATGAGAAATTCAGTCCTGTGTTTGGTGCTTAACTTGATGGTTGTTACTATAAAGGAGCAAGACTTGGCTTCACTGATTTCTGAATATATTTTACCACTACACTGTCACGTAGAAAGGCATTTCACATAGGAACATGTCTCAAACCGTTTCACAGAGGCAAGACAGAATGGGAGCCCAACCAGGTGGGAGATGGGGATAAGCAGTAGGAGGCAGGATTTATACTCCTTTATAGTAACAACCATCAAGTTAAGCACCAAACACAGGACTGAATTTCTCATTTACGTGCTCAGAAGGCAGTTGATATTTCCTTGTGTTGTTGAAAGGCATAAATAGTAATTGGCCAAAGGTGCAGTCAAAGAAATAGATTTTAAACAAGTTTTGAAAGCACAGAGCAAAGACGCCAGGTGAATGAATTAAGGTAACACATTCCAGATAGTGGTGACGTAATGACTGAAAGCTCATTCACCGTCAGTAGTGCAAAGGTGGATGTGAAGCAGGACTGAGTTAGATTGGAGTGAATAGGACCACAACACATTAGAGGTATTGTGAGGTAAGCACATGGAAGCTTTTGAAAGCTTGAACTAGAATCTTAAAGTCAGTCTGTTTTAGTTGCAGAATTACTATCCTCACATAGATAAATGACATGTTCCACCTTAATGCAGATTCTTTCATACGCTCACTATTTGTGAATCTGAAGTGCAACCCAAAGAAATATAAACTTTGAATGAGAGGACTCTTCTACCCTACAGAGAAAGAGCCAGCAAATTGATTCACGCTTTAGCTTTGGTTTTTGGGCAAAATATGCAACACAAAATATTTTGAGTTAAAAAAACTACTTCAAGCTTTGGGTTATTTTTGTAGATGAAAATTTACTCCGCTTTAAATTCACTAAATACTACATATGTATCCTCTTTTTTTCTAGTTCAAAAGAGGACAATTTGTGGGCTGAATTATCAAGGGGATTGGACCCAGCAATGCAAACATCGCTCACTATCGTTTGCGTGTTTGACCTTCCATAGAACTCCTGAGAAAACACAGGAATTACAGTTTATAATTATCCATCAGAAAAGCTGACAGAAATTGAAGCCAGTTCTTGGCATAAATAATTATTTAAAATAAAATCAGGAATCTGACTGGAGATACACACAAACAAATTTAGTGCATTCTTGGCAGAAGGCTCCCGTTCACTCGTGAGAACGATTCAAACGCAATAGATGTAGGGATGGGAAAACAGAACTGAAGAACCAAATGTGCATGTTTATAGGTAGTGGAGGGAAACTCGTGTTTTTCTAGGCAAAACAAATACAACAGCTCAGTAGCACAGAGTGTTATTGCATAATAGTTGCATACCGTGGAGTTCGGTCCATGATTTCCCACATGACAACTAGGTAGAAGTAATAAGGGAGAAAGTGCACAGCAAGACAGTCTTCATGGGAACTTGTATATATCAAGTGCTTGAAGTGAACCACCGAGTGGTGATTTCAACTGCAAATGCAATTCGCAGTGATGTTTAAATAGTCAAAACCACCAAAGCAAAATCGTATAGAAATATTCAGATCACTGCAGTTTCAAAATTCACTCAATATTTCTATCTTGAACAAAGTGGTAAAAATACTAAATGTTCTAGCCACAGCAACATTTACATGCTGTACCTACTCGAGTATTGTGTGCTATGTTGTACAACTCTTCCACTCTACCTTGAAATGCAAGCAAATTTAGGCTTTAGCTTTGGTCTTTTTCGCAAAGTATGCAAAACAAAACAAATAATTTCAGCTAGATATGACAGATTCAATCATAGGGTGTTCTGCACATATTTTCTGTTGCAAGAAAATTAACTTTGCTATGAGTTAAAATGGTTAACTAGGGGCAACCAATGTATTTGCAGATTTATAATCTCTCTAGAACAAGGTTTAGATGCAAGGTACACAACACCCATATTATTTTCAACCAATATTTGTGCCCTGGAAGGTACGTTGATAACAATAAGGCTTACCATATGCAAGTACAAGACAGTTTTTGAACTCAATATGATCCGTTCGCAATACAAAACTTATGACTAAGTGTGCTGTGCTGCATCTGGGCTTTTTTCCTCCAGCACTGAGTATTCTAAAATCAATATCCTAGCATGCAAGAAATCACTGCATAATTTTTCTTTGTTACATACAAAAGCAAAATTGCTTTAAGCGTATGCTGTCACTTTATGTTAAAAGGAAAAGTCACTAATAAAGTGCTGCCCTTCGGTCATCTTTGACAATGGGCAACACTCTGCCAGAACTTATTAAATGTAATCCATATCAGTGGCCCCAAATTTCTTTTAAAATTACCATCTTTTGTTTCTGTATAGCAGGATGTCACTTTTATGGCACTACTGAGATATCGGACCTGTCATTGCAGTTAATATTCAACTTAGTCTCAACACTAGGGTTTCTTAGCCCCGGGGCTTTTTTTGCTACACTAACAGGATTTATTTTACAGTTATTAAGATCAGCTGTTGTATAGCTCTTCAGATAGAAAACAACCAAGACACATAGAGGTCTTGTTTGCACAGCACTAAGTTTCCAGCACTGAGGCAGAATTTCCAATTTAATGTTTAAATGGCATAATTAGTTTACTGCATCATGTAATCTGTGCGTTCCATATTATTTCACTGTATTTTCCTTTAGACAAACAGCAAGTTGTCTTCCTATGCCTCAAGGTAGAATTTATTAGGCTAGACTTTTAAGGAAATATGCACAGGGCTAAAGCAGAGATAATAAACCTGCAAATAAATTGCTGGAGTAGTTACCCACTGGGCAGCCTCAGTCAATGCTTATTGGGTCGAGGTGCAATATTTGATTTTCCCATGGCAAGTCATAAGGGAATTTGTCCTATTCCAATAACATTTCAAAACTATTTTGTGAATACAATTTTGTGACAAAAAATTGGCAATTGATTTTTATTAGTATCCACAACAACTGTTACCTGCCGCAATATTGTTAGCCAGTTCTCTCCATGATCTCCTTCTATAACCATAGACGTGACAAAATTAATGCCTCAAGAGCCTGGGTTCTGTTCTCAGTGTTGCTCCTTGGTTTCATAAGCTGACCCCATGTTGCACTTCAATGAAGTGGGAAAATGGCTCATCCTTCATATTGAAGTATTTCAATAAATAGTCTGTCCATGAATTAATCAAACTTTCCTGCATATCATTAAGAAACTTGAAAGCTTTCATCACCCCTGGGACTTGTGTCCATAACCACAGCACAATATTATACCACGGCAACACTTTCACAAATTTCGTTCCAAGCTGTGCTGTGAACCTGTGGTCAGAGTAAGCAAAACTCCTAAATTATCTATTTTTTTCCCCCTCCTGGGTTGGGGCAGAGGGATGCGGGGGAGGTAAGTGGGACTCCTTGGAGCTGAGATGGCTCTAAGGTGGTGTGCTGGTAATGGAATGTTGGAATCCTGTCAACCCACTGTGGCAATCCAGTTGCCAAGCCAGGACACTGCTGATGATAGATCAGACAGCCTGACTCATCTATAGGATTTGGGAGGAACAGACCTCTCTAGAGGCAAGGAGTTTTCCTGCTCAACTCCTGTTAAAGCCTGCAAAATTCCTAATGGGTAGGGTGCTCGTAGCTGAATGAATAGCATGGAGCTTTCCAGACAGTGCTCTCAATGGCTGGTTGTGTGGTTTTAGCTGATTAAACTATAGCAGTACCCCAACACAAACGCTGGGGTCCCCAAGCCTTGACTCCTATCACCCTGCAATTATTGTTCTCCGGAATTAGGTAAGCAGAATGCTTCCCTCCAGGGAGAGAGAGGGTCTATTCCATTCCAAACACAGGAAACTTTCCTTGTTTAGGTGGCATACACATGTGGAACTCAGTCTGATCTGGATGTTGATCTGGATCCATGATGGATCTGCATGTTTCAGCCACCTGGCTAACCACAATAAATTAGGCCAGAATTTTTATATTAAAAAGTATTATACTCTATATATCAAATGCCTTACATTTTGTATTAGTATTCTAACATTTTTTTTCTACCAGCAATTGGAGAACTGCATTGAAGAGAAACCCATTAGATAAAATAATCTGCTGAAACTTTCCTCGTCAGGTACCTCAGGAGGAGGTTAATTGAACTCAACATAAAATGTATTTTCACCAAAGTTAAGGGTACCATACCTCGAACAATAAGCTCTGCAAAATTTGATACTCCAGAGCCTCTTTCAGACTGGGTCACGCAGCGGTACAAGTCTTGATCATTCTTGGCGACTTCCTTCAGTTTGAATGTCGCTGCAAACCGCCTGTGGTTTATATTCTTTGTCAGAGCAACTGGTATGTCTTCACCATTTCGCCTCTGATAAAAAAGAAGCACTAATAAACAAGTTGTATTATGTATTATTTCTGTTAAAATTTCACCCAATTCAAAACAGTTATTGAAGCGAAACGAACCACGATCACTTTTGAGAAATGGATACAAAACACTTCTGAATTGAATTCAATTGTTTTTCATTTTGGTTCTGTTCATACTCTGGTCTGTCAATCATTGCCTCACCACCCTCTGCATTGGAGATTAAAGATAATATCTTTGTCTCGTATTTCCTTTGAAAGCAGAGCACAGGTCACATTTTACATTTTATCACTGATCTTGTTTGACAGGATGAAATGACAACACATAAACGTCGAAAATTGCTGTAATTTTGGGGGGCTTTTAGGCACAAAAAAAGTTAACCATTTCCTGTACTGAAGTGAAAGGTATTGGTATTTTAATGGAGAATTCAGGATAAGATTTGTTTGTCTAAATTATCCAAGACATTTCATCTCTCACCCAAACCTTTCAGAAAGTAAGAACTTGCTGTGAGTAAGTGCTGCAACATGATCCTTAGGGCCAGCGGCATTTAGATACCTGATTCAGGTAGTTATTTTTCAACTGTGAGCTTGGACCATAGACAGTGGCATTGGCAAAGCAGTCGACAATGTAACCACTGGCAAAAACATTCTCAACAAACTTTGTTTTCTTCAGGAAGTGACCTGCATGTGACTCAGAGTCACAAAACTTCAGCTCCGCTAAGATCTCGGTCTAAGCTGTGGTCTCGCAACTCTGCATAACATGTAAGAGATTCCTTCGGTCTGTCACTGGCATTGCTCCTGCCTGTAATATACTGCTATGATGTGCTTTCAGTTGCTCTCATCTGGTTATTCAAGCACAGAGGTAATTCCTACTATTTCTTGTAAATTTCTCACAGCACATGCCAGTCAATAAAAGACAATAAAAACTATAAAAGTAAAACAGGCAGTCATAATCCTGTCCTTGTACACACAAAATATACTGTCCAGTAGAGGTCATTTGTTAACAATCAAGTGGAGACAGAATGGAATGGTTGATGTTTACCCTTCTCCCCAATAACCAAGAGAATGAATTGTATTGCTTCCATTTCCACCTCAGCGCACATCAGCTAACTCAACACAACAGCAAATCTGGGAGCATCCAGATCTGTATGGTTTAATACCACGGCCACAGGACACACATTTACTCACTTTAAGGATGAGTCCAAGACTCCCACAGATTTTAAAAATTAGCAGCTTACGAAAGTGAATATGTTTAATTCTTTTTCACTGGTTGATTATGTGCTATGAAGAGCGTAAGAACTGCTAGATGAAAAAGGACCAAGGTCCATCTAGTCGCCTTCCTGGCCGTCGCATGCACATATGTCCCAAACACCTATGTACTATATCCAGGAGGAACATAAGAAAGAGGAGTTTGGAGAATTATAGATTTTCCACCATTACAGTGATCGCCACCCCCCCACCCCGCCCCCTTCTGGTAAATGTGTTTCACAACTCACATAATAATAAAAATAAACCTTGCATTTGATATAGCGCTTTTCACGTCGGGAGGACGTCCCAAAGCGCTTCACAGAACACACTGTAAAGTGAATTGACTGTATATTTGTGGCCGAACGCGGCAGCCAATTGCGCTCAGCAATGTCCCACAAACAGTCGTAGATTGAAAATGACCAATTTACTATTGTTTTTGCTTTTGGAGGGATTATTATTAGGCGTGTGGAGTAAGGAAACTTGCTCAAGGTTTCGTCCTGCCTGGAATTGAACTCAGGTCTCTCACTTGCAAAGCGAGTGCTCTAACCACTGAGCTACAGGAGATGGCTGATTCAGCAGGATACCAATTTGCACCTCTGCAATATAAATGAAGTTTAGGCAAGTCGATTCCTCCACTTCCCAAACATGATCCCTTAAAGGTTCTTGAGACAATCCAGTGTCTATTTAATATTTTAAAAACTAATACCCATTTACAGAGGTAAATAAAGTGTTTAATCCTGACCCAACTGTCCAGCGCCTTGGGACGTCCTCCCGACGTGAAAGGCACTCTATAAATGCAATCTTGTTGTTGTTGTTGTGGTTAGAGTGTTCTAACCACTGAGCTACAGGACTCCACATTCACACACCTGAGATGTTGACTAAAAGTGCATTAATTAAATATTACTGCAAAACACTCATTAGAGTGGTTCATCAGCAATTCATTCCCTTCAGCAATATACACAGGATATTCAAGTGACCAGTACATTCAGAATTTGACCAGTTCATATTAGTTATAATTTAGTTACTAAATTGACATTGATGTTAGCAAGTACAGTAAGTACAATTTTATTAATCTAAAGTTAGTGATCAAGTCTCAGTTATTAAATTCTTTGACAATCTGGGCTACTGTGAACCATTTGATAACATATTCCTGCAATGTGGTCTCAGGAAGCATTAAAACACCAAAAAGAAGATTGATGATATATTTATAATGATAGGTTTCTAATGATAGATTTTTAACGATATACGCAATTACAATCATCTTTTCACGAGTGTGTAAGATTATAACACTGGCCCAGCATTCGCCTTGACCCAGCACTTCAAATGTAACTGTCAAGAACATAAATCACAAGACTACACACTTTTAGATAAACTTGTAATAACAACATGCATTTATTTTGCACCCTTCATGTGGGGTAGAGTCCCGGAGTGCTTCATGACTTGCTCTTAAATACGATGCTAAGAAAAAAAATGTTTTATCTTAGACCTTAATAGCTAACTCTAAGTGCTTATTTTAATTTCTTCAAAGGCATGAGTGCTTCAAAAAAATGATGTGCCATTTTTCTTTCCTTTCTCGAAATCACCAAAATTAGTCTTACAATTTGATTTTACGGAGAAACTGAATTGAAGTGCACAGCAGGCTTCCCCACAGGCTTGAATTGTACTCATTATACAGAAGATGACGCACATATTTGATCTTGCCTGTATTCAACAAGTGAGCTATACTGTTGTGCTTCACTGCAAGCTTATCAAATGTTTTAATAAACAGCATTCAGTTGAAAAAATTCCAAGTTTCTTATTTGCAGTTTTCTTTTAAATCTTATGTTATTTTATGTTCACTTTCTTGAGGATTATGATTTCTATTAGGAGAAGAAACGTTTGTGAGATACCCAGAATAATTATGAAAATGAGGATTTACATAAACTAATGAAATAAGTTAGGGTCTCACTGGATACAATAACTTACCCAGCAAATCTACCCGACAGATGTTATGTCATGTCTAATTGTTGGTTGAATAGCACATCCAATGGGACCCATCTGAATGCTCTGTTTATACCACTAGTCACGGGTAAACTGCTGCATTTTTTATTTAAAAATAGGGTTATGTTTGTGTTATGGGAACCAATAGGTATGGAGGGTGGATGAATCTGTGTGGTGATTTTGTTGATAATGAGTCTTGATGGTGACACTTCTGCACACAGGAAAATGGTATTGCGCGATATGTTGAGCTGGCAGTGACTCAGCCCATTAACATGTCTGTCGGGTCAGTTTAGTTTAGGCATATGACCATTATACAAATGGCAAACCATCCAGTGCTTCCAGACGCTGTTTTTGTTAAGCATGTATGTGGTAACGTATTTATCATAGATGTTATATTATTATTCTAGATTTCAGATATAAACAGATGTATTTCATCTATGCTGTAACCTGGTGGAAAAGTTATTTTACAATGTGTTTTTGAAGCAGAAAAACAAAGTAGTTTGAATCGAGTCCCATAGACACAGTGACTGAATGCTTGGCTGCTGAAAGCGTGGCCAATGACAGTGAAGAAAATGAAGTTGAGAGTGAACAACTGGATAGAGGTGGAAGGTAAGGATTTAGAATGTTTGGTTGAAGAACATTTGATAGGTAAGGGGGTGCAAGACCATGGAAAGCTTTTATGAACAGGACGAGGCTCTGCTGAGATACTTGCAGCCAACAACAATGGGGTAACAACAACAAATTACATTTGTGTTGCGCCTTTTACGTTGAGAGGACGTCCCAGGGTGAATTTAGTTATGAAATGTACATGGGGTATAAGATAAAAATTACCAGTAGGAAACTGTTTATATTGTTCACAATTTCTCATTCCCATGATGCTATTAAATCGAAATAAAAACATCCACATTGCATGACATATTGAGGGATACTTATACGCTGCAGAATTATTTACTTTACAGTTGCAGAATAATGTATTTTACTGGCAATGCATCACTGCTCATTTGTATGTCTGCTTGAGGGAAAGGCTTCAAAAATGCACTAATATCTGCCATATTATAGATCTTTTGGGAGGCATCAAAGGAAAGACGGGTGCTGTGGCAATAATGCAATATTGAACTAATAGGGATGGTATATTTGCAAGGAAGTCTGTGGGAAGGAGGGGGCAGAAAATGCATGAGGGACTTTTATCTCTCGGTTTCTTAACCAAGTGAAGCACTGTTTGCACCACACTCTATTTTCAAAACATGTTTCAATTTTGGGACTGATGCAGAACATTCATCACAGCGTTTCTCAAACTCCAGATAAAACATCATTCCACATTTTAAATACTTGGCTTAAGTCCTGCGCCGTTTGACTGCACCTTTCATATCAACTGGGAAGTCCTCAACTGGAAAGTGTATTCCATTGCCTTTGCCAGTAGTGCATGTGGCTGGAACAGTAACCACTCCCAGTTACAATTTACAGCAATGATTGATTTGCCCCCTACATCTGTGGAAGTCAACAGTCACACAAGTCTCATTATAAAATCTGAAACAGCGCAAAATAAGAGCAATACTTTGAGCACGGCATGTGGAGTCTGTTAAATTCCATACCAGATTGTGTGCCTTATTGATAACTGCATATAAATAAAGCATTAAAATGGTAACCAAAGCTATAAATTAAGCTATGTAAAGTTAGGTTAAATAAAATTTTGATGTGAAAAGTTCCCAATTTACTCATTGCAAACTCTCCATGGAATAATAAAAATTAGTATGGAATGGAAATCAGTGTCAGTTTTTTTTGACAGAATGCGTTACTACAGTTCAATGGGAGTACTCTTTTTGTTTGTTTATTTGTTTGTTTTGAACTGTTTGTTCTCTCACCTGCAGCCACAGATTGTTATTCACTGCTTCTCTGCCTGTAGCAATACACTGGAATGTAGCATTTTGTCCAGCGTTTACTTCCACATCTCCAAGTCGCAAGAAGTGAGGAGATTTGTCTGTTGAACAATAACAATAACATTTTGACATATTTACGACAATGGTCCATTCAACTTGGAATTACGAGCACTGTGCGCACTGGTGCTTACTGCTTTTCTTTTATTTATACAACATGCAAGTCTAACTTGGGGCACTGACCTAGGGCAGAATTCTGACATTCATGTGCCCAGTCAACATTGTGTTTTTATGTCGATTTGGCACAGGAATTGGCACACAAAATGCAGCATAAATCAGATTTACATCACACCAATTCACAGTGAAGTTCTGAAGCCACCTCAAGAAGGTGGCATTGCCAGGGTAGTGATAAGCACAACTGTTAATGCAAACAAATGCTGGAAACCCATTTGACCTTTACTCAAAAGGTGAGATACTCAAGAAGTTAAACAGAGCTTTTACTATTAAAATTATTTTTTTTAATCAAATTATTGAAGTAGGCTGCTCGTCTGACTGTTTAACATGGAAATCTGGAGCTTTGTGCAGCTTCATGGATCCCTTTAGCTTCCAGTTCTTTATATCACATATGAAAGATGGATTGTTAAAATGAAAACGTCAAGTTCGACAGTATGACTCTTCAAAAATTAAATTAATTTTAAAATAGGAAAAATTGTTTTGAGCTAAAACCATCAGCATTGAAAAAAACCTTATCTTCCAAAATAAAGAGTGCAAATATTGTATAGATGTTCTGGAATTCAATAATCCATGTGTGAAACTAGGAACATTGATTTTACCCAACCTCACTGAATGAGCTATAGAAAGTTTCTGGTTGAACTAGAAATCATATCTTAACATAAGAGCAGTACAGGCACAATGAGAGAATTCTCAGCATGTATTTGTGAATCCACTGGATAATTTGTAGTGGTTGATTATCACTTTTGGTCCAAGTTAGAAGTAACTGTTTGGTGTTTATTGATGGATCACAAAGTGACCAAAAACACATCACAAAAAATTAAATATTCATTTTATGAACCAAATTGATCACTTAGTTTAAAATGTCAATGTATCAATTTAGAAATTGTATATGAATTTATCAATCCAAAATTTGTACACAATCAACCCTTAGGAAAAACATTTGTAATTATATGATTTATACTGTAGTTGTATACATACCTGAACTAGAACTGTGGATTAAATGAATACTTACCACATGGGTAGCTCAACACCTGGATGTCATCAATGGCAATGTATCCACTTTGCTCACGGGAGACATCTGCTTCAAATATTACCTGCCGACATGAAGACAATCCAGTTGACACCTCTATTAATTTCCTGTTCCATTAGAACCATAGAAATTTACAGCACAGAAGAAAGGTTATTTGGCCCATTGTCTCTGTGCTGGCTCTTTGACAAAGTAATCCATTCAATCCCATTTATCTGTCTTTTCCCCATACCCACCCCTGAAAATTATTTCTTATTGATCTTGAGAATCATTCTAACTCAATGTATTCCTTTATTCTTTCAATTCATCACAAAGCACTGAGATACAATGGTCGAGGAGCACAAAGCTGTATGAGTTGTCATTGTTGTAGATTACTCGAGGGATTGGTTCAAGTATGATGTATATTCACTGAATGAAGAAACAGTACAGAACTGTTATGCATCTTAGCAATAAGTGGGCACAACTCATGCTCACTATCTATCAGTAATGCTACAAAAAAGATCATGAAAAGATGTGCTTTAACAAAGCATTTCCTTAATATAGAACCCCAAGTTTCAGCTTAAATATTCAGTTTCACCACACTTTCATTTTGTGTCTTCTGTGTACCAGACTCGGCAACAAGATTTAAAAGTAACCGGAAGAGATTGGAAGAAAGATAAGTGGGGTCTCCTTGGGCTGAGCTGCCTCCAAGATAATATGCAACAAGATGTCGGAATCAGACTGCAGGCTCAGTAGTCTGGCTCCAAAACCAGGTGGGTCTGCAGTACTGAAGGACACTGGTGATGACAGACCGGCCAGTCTGGCTTATTGTTAGCTGGTATACCTGCAGTAGCCCAACACACTCTGGAGTCTTCAAGCCTTGGCTCCTGTAAACCTGCACCGAATATTCTCTGGAATTTGGTAAACAGGGTGCATTCTTCCAGGGAGAGAGTGCACATTCCTTCCCAGACCAAATAAATCTTCACACATATGTGGCAGTTGGGAATCTCAGTCTGGTGATGGGTTTCCACGTGTGGCAAGATACGCAGCAATAACAAAAATGGATAAACATTTAATAAAAATAAGTGTGTCTGGATACAAGTTATATGCAAATTTAAACTAAAAATGTCATCTCTCTCGTAACCACTTTCCTCCTCTCTGTTTCACACCCTCGCTGGCCGCAAAGGGTAGGCAAGGGACAAGTTACCAAGCTTCCATCAATGATTTTGGGAGCTAACCGAGTAACTCATGATGTTTAGCTCTTCGATATTCCTTCTCTCTTCAGATAATAACACCTGGCTTCTCTACCACTGCATGGAATCATTTAGCATGTTTAAAAGAAAAACATCTTGGTCAATAAAAAATAATACATTTGCTCATTCATTTCATGGATATTTGTGTGAAATTGCTGTGTGCAAATTGAGTGATGCGTTCATCCACAAAATATACAGTAAATCCTGGAAGCGCTTTGAGGCATGCGCCAAATGTGAAAGGCGCTGTACCAAATGTAACGATTATTAATATCATTAGAAATATGGTATTATGGCAATAAGGAATAATAGAGAAGATTTTTTTTAAATAGAGGTTTATTAGAATATGGCTTGTATTACCACAAATGGCTGTTGAAGCCAAATGCCTCACAATATTTCAAAGGGAATTGGATAAACACTTGAAGAAAAATATCAAAGGGTATGGAGAACGAGCAGGGGAATAGGATCAGAGTAGAGCAGCTCCAGTGTGAGAGCTAGCAGCAACAGATATGATAAGCCATATGGGTTTCTTCTATGCAAACTCCCTGCATGTTCAATTGCATGCCAATATTTTCAGCTTAATGATGCATTATGCAGAAAAAAATAAGCAAGGCTTCTTGGCTGAAATTTTACCTCAAATTCCAAGCAAAGCATCTGGAGACTCAAAGAGTATTATGCTGACGTAGGTTAGCTCTTGGGACTATTTATTTGCATTTATTCCAGATATTCCCACACAGTACTTTGTATGTTCCAATTTTTCTTTTAATAGATGGGCTAAATTTAGCAGCATTCTTTGGGGATATTTCACTTATTATGTAGAGCCCACAACATAAAACTTTCTCATAGTAAGACATCTAGTCTAAATGATACAAATTATACTGCCAATATGAAGTTTTTACTGATCAATTTATTTCTTCATTATCCTGGACTAGCACCACCACCATAATTGGACCAATGAGTGAAAAACAATACAATACAAATTTGGTGCCAAGCACTGGGGTGTTCTCCTGTACATCAGGAGGACACCCCAAGGCACTTAACAATTCTGGCCTGGCACCCAAGCTGGGGATGGGAGCCACAGAGATGGAGAGGGAAAAGATGACTGAAAATGTAATTATAGAAGTAGTTCTTAAGATAGATCTTGAACAAGATAAGGGAGGGAGCAAGTTGGGGGGACTCTGGGACAGAGTTCCAAAGAGTAGGAGCAGATAAGCTGAAAATCTGTCCATCAATAGTGGGGCTGTTTGGGCAGAGGACATGAAGCAGACTAGTGCCTACTGAGCACAGGGAAAAACCAAGTCAGTAGGGTTTGAGGAGGCCAAAGAGGTAGGGTATGATCATGGAGGGATTTAAAGGTGAGGATGAGGCTTTTGCACTTGATCCAATAGGGAATTAGGAGCCAATGGAGCTAGGCAAGGATGGGATTTTCCAGCTCGCAGAAAAAGACATAGGCTACAGAGTTCTGCAACTCGTGTAGGGAAGAGTTGGTTTGTCTGGTGAGCAAAGCGCCTGGATGGGCTAAATGTATAATTAGGGGTGGAGGTGGATAATATTTTGGAGGTGGGAGGGTCGGGTTGACCAGGTCTGAGCATGCCTGTGAAGCTTAAAGAACATTTGGAATGAAACAAAACACAGAGGTTTTGCAACAGCTCTGGAAAGTGAAGTTTACGCTCACGCAGGTTGATCCTGTTGGGGCCCGAGGTGAGAAGGCACTGATGGGAGCCAAGCAGGAGAGCCTCTGTCTTATTGACATTCAATTGGAGAAAGTTCAGGACTTGGCTGTCAGCAGTGATCCTGGAACCCAGGATGGAGGCAGAGTTGGAATTGAGTGTCATCCATGTAAATGTGAACCAAGGAAGCCCATAATCTCCTCACATTTGGAATGGATTACTACATTAAAATACAGTATAAATACATGTTGAATATCTGCATCAGGCTTCAATGTTGGAGTGTGGAGTACATTCATACTGGATAGCCTGAGATACAGTTTAACTTGGTGTACAATTTACCCATGGAGCAGGACTGTGACCTGGCACACAGAGAGTGGTTATTAAATATATTTTCAGGTACAGTGTAGGGTTACAGACCGGGAGGTGGGGTGGAAGAGCAGGAAGAACACTGATATCACACAGGAAGTGAAAGCGGCAACCAGAAGTGGGACATGTTCCTCATGGACCTGTTATAATGCGGAGTCTAATTTTTGGGATTCCAAATGCAGTTATCAAAGGGTATGAATGCACATTAAGAATAATAGAACATTCACAGCACTGAAGGTGACCGTTTATTCCATCGTTAGATTTAAGCACCTTGGGACGTCCTCCTGATGTGAAAGGGGCTAAACAAATGTAATTTTGTTGTTGTTAAGAATTAAGGAAATTACTGCATATGAGAAAGGCTGCTTAAAGATTTCATGCTGTAATTTATATAAGGGAAATAAAGTGTTTAAGGAAATTGCTTTAAATATGATTTTGTCCCACTGGTTAAGGTTTAAAATTAATTACAAATCTCCTACCTTTTGGGAGATATTACTTTCATTTCTGCTTTACCATAGTGGAGGGGACATTGTTACAAGTTATCCCCAGCTGTTCCACTCACATTACCTACAGAAGCATCATTTGCCAAAGCCAATCTTTAGATGTCAATCTGCTCTACTCCCTGTGGAGCTGGTCACTGACACTTGCACAAATGATGCCAGAAGAATAGTTCCCTGCAAATTGGAGAAAGATCTGAAAGGGCAGGTCTCTTCTGGGCTGAATAGAAATGAAAATAAGATTACCTTGTGATAGGTAGAAATTTGTAAATGAATTTGCAACATTAGGCTGCTGCATAAGGGAGGATGGAGGAGGAAGCCTACACCTTTTAATGTTCTTTCTACCGTTTCTTTTTAGGGAGATTACCACAAATGCAAGGTTTATTATTTGATCTGAATCAGGTCCAACTTTGGATCCAATTTCTCAAAGCTACTGCTGCAATTCCTACAACTTGCATTTACATAGTGCCCTTCACATGGGGTAGCGTCTCCAAATGGTTAACAGTGGCAGGGCTTAACACTAAGCCAGGGTGAGGGGGGAGGTGACCACAGACACAGTCAAAGAGGAAGATCTACAGGTGTAATCTGAAGACGGGCTAGGAGGAGACAGTTGGAGGGATTGAAGCAGAGTTCCAAAGTTTTGGAGCGTAGTGGATGAAAATGTGATCTAGAATGGTGAAGTGCAGGAGACCAGGGACGTGTAGGAGACTGGAGCCAGCTGAGCAAAGGAGGAGGATAGAGGAGTGGGGTGTAAGAGAGGTAGAGAGGTGCCATGGCATGAAGTGATTTGTGCAAGTGAGAATCTTCAAAATGATCCATTCTGCAATAGCGAGCAAGTGGAGCCGGGCAAGAGCTGTGGTGGTGGAGGTACAGAGTTTTGTGCGGGTGATAGAGTTTTGAATTAACTGGATTTTATGAATCGTGGAGCTGGGGAGACTGGCAAGAAGGCATTGGAATATTCAAGACAGGTGACAAATGCATGGATGAGGGTTTCGGCTGATTTGAGTGTGAGGTATGGTTGAGCATGTGGCGGAGGTGGAGGAAAGTAATCCTGGTCAGGGACTGTGGGGATGTGGGGAAGCAAGGATAGCAGGGGATCAATTCTGACACCGAGGTTGTGCACAGGTTCAGTGAGTCTGAGGGAGAGACTGGGAAGGTTCAAGAGGTCAGAGCCACAGGTGAGGAGACATTGATGGGAGCCAAGAAGGATGACTTCTGTCTCATCAACATTCAGCTGCAGAAAGCTGGCACTCATCCAGGGCTTGTTGTCTGATAAGATTTTCCAAAACATCAGTTTAAATAGAATAA